GGTATGACAGGGAATGAAGGGCTTTTCCTTCTTCCGTGGCAACCGTGAGCACAGCTGCTGCTCTGTGTGGGAACAGCATCGTCAAGGACACCAAGGCTGGAGAGGAGAAAGAGGGGACCTAGAGGCAGGCACAAAGGGCCATACCACTGGGTCTTGGGTACTCTGTAAGGACTTGGCTCTCAGCTGGAGAGGTGTAGCTAGGGCAGGGCTGTGAGCACGAAGTGCTGTGACTCAGATGGTCACATGCTTCCTCTGGACAAGTGTGGGGAGTAGGGTGTATGGGGGTGGGGGCTCAGGCTGTTGAGATGTGGAGATGGGAGGTGATGGATGCTGGACCTCGGTGGACAGAGAAGGGAGACAAAGCCGGGTCTACACATAATGACCTTGAGACTCTGAAGCAAGGGCAACCAGACACTTCTCCGAGGAGGAGGAGGAGGGCTCTGCCCAGGACCTTTCCAATCTGGTCAAAGACGGGAGGAGAGGGACAGGGTGCAGGAGCCTGGGTGGCCAGATTATCAGGCTTTGGGTAGGAGGTGACAAACCTCGCCATCACCTGTGCGTGAGACCAGCCTGAAAAGGAGCGAGCAGCAAGGTCCTTGCCTGCCCGGTGTCTGCCTCAACCTCCTGTACCTGCAGGTGATGGAGGAGTGAAGGGCACCGCTGTGCCCGCTATCTTATCAGGAAGTCTCAAACACGTACTGAAAGTCAAGGTCACAGCCAGGTCCACACACTCTGCAAACATTCCCCGGGGCCAGCCCAGGCCGCACGATGCGGAACACACGGCGAATGCTCTCGGAGACAGCCTGTCTTGACGGGAGTGCAGAGTGTGGGGGGAATCACCAGATGGTCACAGCGCAGGGCCAAGGTGGAGGTTTACGGGTGTCGGCGGTGAGGCCGGGAATGCTGCTTTGGTGTTGTGGTGGCCAGATATTCGACGGAAGCACCCTGTTGAAAGATTTCAACTCCTGGGCACTTGGCCCCACAGTCTGGGGCAGAGCATCACGGAGGAGAGGGGTGTGGAGGATATACACACATGTACACCCTAATGTGTGTAGGTACCCAGGGAGGCCAGAGGAGAGGGATGGGTCCTCTGGAGTTGGGGTTACAGGTGGCTGTGAGCCACTGATAATGGGGGCTGGGAACTGAACTGGAGTCCTCTGTGAGAGCATTATGTGCCCTTACCCACTGAGCCAGCTTTGGAACACCCTGCTGGGGTGTGTGTGTGTGTGTGTGTGTGTGTGTGTGTGTGTGTGTGTGTATGTGTATGTGTGTGTGTGTGTTACTGTGCTACTAGGCACTGAACCAGACTCCATCCCTCACTGGGGAATTCTAGGCAGGGGCTCTACCACTGAGCCACACCCCAGCCCCTCACTGGGGGATTCTAGGCAGAGGCTCTACTACTGAATGACATCCTCAGCCCTGAAATGAACATTTGAAAAGCAGAAGGCCCTCCATCCTGAAACAGAAAGCAGCATAAGGAAGGAGACAGCAGAAGTCTGAGCCTTATCAGGCCTTGGAAATGTATATATACAGGAAACTCTTGGTCAAATTTCTCCTTGTAATCTGCTTTCTGTTCTCTTTGTATTTGTCTCTCCCAGTTTCTTAGGGAAAGAAAACTACATTAAATCTGACCATTGTTCTCAAACAAGCCTGCAGCACTTGCGTGAGATGCTCAGGCTGAGTCAGATACGCACTGCTGACTGGCCGCATCCTCGCACACCTGCCATTAGGCTTTGCCCTTGAATTATGCCAGGAGTTTCCCATCCACCCGAAGTAGCACTGCACCGCTTTCCCGTCCCCACCCCTCGGGCTACAGTCCATCCAAGGCACCAGGCATATTCAGATACTCCTGCCCAGTCCGGATCCAGCCTGGAGGTAGAGGCCTGTGTGTTCACCGCCGAGAGATGGCGTCAGGGTTGCTTACGTGATAAAAGAATAATTTGATCAAGCTAGACAATCATCCCAAATATACAGAAACGGAGTAGGATCTGAAGGCTGCGTGATCTAGGGAAAGTATTTCATCATCAGTGTGTCTGGCTGTTGTACACTGGAGATGAACAAGGCCACAAAGTTGTTGCAAATTCAGGGTGGTGGAAGCAGGCACTGTCTTTGGGTGGTTGGGTATAGTAGGTTGGGCGTGTTGGAAGAAATTGTGGTGGTTTGGATAGTGGGTATCTAGCCACAGGATCAGGTCTGTGTGGACTCAGGCTCAGGTAATAGGTATGTGAACCCAGGCTCGGGCAAGGTCTGCGGAGGTAGACAAGGCAGTGGTTATATGTATTCAGGTTTTGGCAGTGACTGGATTCAGGCCCAAGTAATGGGCGTCTCAAAACCCATATATATGCTCTTTTCTAGACGGTCCAGACTTAAATACGAGACACAACCTGACAATGTCCTGCACATCACTTCCGTGTTCCTACCCAAAGTGAGCAAACTGAATCTAATCGCAATGGACAGGGGGAAATCCACAGAATAAGATGTGCTCTCCAAAACGCACACGTCAAGGAAGCAAGAAAGACAGAACAAACAAAGAGGACGACAGGTGTGCAAGGGACGTGCCATCTTGTGTAAAGTGCCATCCAGACCAGGTCCCGGACTGCAAGGACTTCAGTGGGAAAACTGGAAAATTCAAATAAATTCTCACAGTTATTAAAGTTCCTCATTTGTGTTATTTTTTAAAAAAACTGTTCATTCTTATGTTAAAAATGCGCTTATTCACAGGCAGCAGCTGCCTGAATGGAGTTAGAAAAAGTCTCATTTCTTATCAGGCATGGCTGTAACCCCAACATTTGGGAGATGGAGGCAGGAGGATTAGGAGTTCAAAGTTATCATGGGCTGTAGGGGAGAGGCTCCAGGAGAGAGATGCACAAGATCCAAGGAAACAAAAGTTCCTACCTACAAGTCTTCTAAATAATTCAGTCAGAACAAAATTAAAATCTCTTTATTGGTTGGTCAACCCATCAATCTATTGATTTGGATATATATATATATGCATTATATCCATCTATCTACTTATCTATCATTTATCCTATCTATCTATCTATCTATCTATCTATCTATCTATCTATCTATCTATCCATCTATCTACCTACCTATCTCCATCCATTTAACTATTTATCTAGAACAAATGTACCAAGTTGCTAAATTTGGGTGAAGGGTAAGTTGAATTGTTCATTTTATTGTTCTTGTAACATACAGGTTGAAATATTTAAATATTAATCAACATGAAATCAGCGAATCATATGAAAATGTAAATAGCATAAAAACACTAAGACTTGAGAGAGAGAGAAGAGAAAGCCGGTGAGGGAGAGGCCAAAGGGGCCTTCCCACGTTGGCAGAGGTCGGCAAGCTGTCTTAGTCAGCTGTCTGCTGCCACTGATGACATCGCCCCCTCTGTGACTCCCCAACTCCCATAGCCCCCCCAGGCTCTGAGCGTGTTGGGGGCAGAGGCTGGTAGGCCAGGGTGGGGGCTGGATGCCATCTTAGAGGGTCACCTGAGGCATTCCCAAAGAGTGAGACTTCCCAAGAGCCCATCTGGCACCCCGGGCTTGTGAACGGTGCTCCCACCTGCCATTGAGGGGAACCTGTTCACACTCAGTGACCTGTGCAAAGGAGCAACAAAGGCAACCAGGCCCCAGCTTTCCTCCACCTGGAGCCAGAAGAGCAAATGAATAAAATACAATGCCAGAGTGGAACAGGAAGAGTGATTGGGGGAAGTGAATGGGATGCCGAGGTCCTGCAGCTTCAGGGAGAGCTCTCAGAAGAGGGAAAGTGCCACACAGACCTCTGGAAAAGAGAACTGGAGAGACAGAGTCACAAGTGCCAAGTTCCCAGGGCTGGAGAGATAGCTCAGTGGTTAAGAGCACTGTCCGCTCTTCCGCCATGTGGCTAACAGTCATCTATAATGTGAACTGATTCCCTCTTCTGGCAGGCGTAAATGCAGATAGAACACTCTAAATACATCTTAAGAAAAAAAAAAATGTGCCAAGTTCCTGAGGCATGCTTTTGTATGCTTGGCTCAGGTGAGGTCCATCTGTGTTCACTGCTGTCATTGTGTCCAGGGGCCTCCTGGAGCGGGGTTGGGGTCTTCAGGTGGGTGTTGGCGGGCTCAGGTTGCCCACCCTTTGCTTCCCCGGTGACCCGCTCCCACAGAGGACATTACTAGGGTGATAATCTTATCAGCTGCTCCTACACATGCCCTTGGAGACATGCCCGCTAAGGGAGGCCAGTGCGAAACCATGCCAAACCATGCCGGTTCCCCAGCTCAGCTCCTCATTGCCATCCCCCAAGGGATCTCTGCCTGGGATCATGGAAGGGCCTCTCTGACTCCCCGCCACCCGGCACCCAGCTCAGTCGAGGGCCCCCAGATACAGCCTTTCTGCAGTGGGCACCTTTGTTTCTCCATCTGAGCAGACTGGGGTAGGGAATGGTTGGGAGCTGTGGGGAGCAGCTGGAGGTTTTAGTGTGCCAGTGGGTCCCCGTGGACCTCCCACAAGCCTCCACTTCCTGTATGCAGTTCACGGGTGACTGCACAGGTTTCGGGGCTCACAAGAGGGCACTGTGCCTGTTATCTGCCTGGTCCCGACTCTCCCGTGTCCTAGACTAGGGTTGGACAAGTGGCTCTACCTCTCCATGCCGCAGTTTCCCCACCTCAGTTATTCCCCCTCTCAGAGGGCTTTTGGGAGGCTGAGTGAATGAGTAGCAGGAAGCTTTCAACACATCGCTGCCTCGAAGCGAGGGCAACGCTCCTTCCTGTTGGTAGCTGGCTTTCTAGCCCAGGGGTTCCTGACCGGAGTGGCAGGTGGCGATGAGGTTTGGACGGGCCGGAACAGCCCAGTAGAAAATGTCTAGGCTTTCCGAGCCTGAAGGTTGCCTCAAGGAGCCTCATAATCAGCCGTAATCAGCTGGTGCTGCCCCACCCCCACCCCCCCTGGGTATATCAAGCTTGGTCCAGACCCTAGCTGGCTCTGTGGACCAGAGAAGGCAGAGCACCAGGCGCCATGGGGAAGGCGGTGAGTGACTCTTGGGAGACTTGAGGCTTGGTGGAGGTGGGGAGGCCGAAGTCCCGATGGCATCTGACATCAACTTTGCCCCATCCCCTCCCCAGGAGAACTACGAATTGTACTCAGTGGAACTGGGGTCTGGCCCCGGTGGGGACATGGCTGCCAAGATGAGCAAGAAGAAGGCAGGCGGTGGGGGAGGCAAGAAGAAGGAGAAGCTGGAGAACATGAAGAAGGAGATGGAGATTGTGAGCACGGGGGCTGGAGTCTGGGCAGGACGAGGTGGGGACCAGAAAGAAGCGAGGCTGTGGGCAGGGCCGGGCTGTGAGAAGCAGACAATGAGTGTCCTGCTTCATCCCCCAGAACGACCACCAGCTGTCTGTGTCTGAGCTGGAGCAGAAGTACCGGACCAGCGCCACCAAGGTGAGCTAGGAGTGAGTGGGCAGAGCGAGGGGGAAGATGGACAGGAGAGAGAGAGAGGGCGAGCAGAGAGGAGATGGAGGAAGAGAGACATGGAGGACAAGAGAGATGTATACAGAGAAACAGAGGAATGGGGAGAGGAAGGGAGGGATGGAGAGGAAGAGAGGAGTTAGACATAGGAGACAGAGACAGAGAAACAGAGAGAGAGGGAGAGAGAAAGAGCTCTAAAGAGAGAGGGGAAGTGAAGAGGGGAGAGATGAGAAAGATGGAGGGAGAGGAAAGGGGCAAGGAGAAGGAAGAAGAGAGGAGGAGGGGATGAGACGGAAGGAGAGGGGAGAGAAGAGAAAAGGAGAGGGAGACTCAAACAGAGGGGTGAGGGCAAGACCTGTAGCCCCACCATGACCACACCTGCCTGCACCCAGGGCCTGACTGCCAGCCTGGCAGCTGAGCTGCTGCTGAGGGACGGGCCCAACGCGCTCCGGCCGCCTCGAGGCACACCCGAGTACGTGAAGTTTGCCCGGCAGCTGGCAGGGGGTCTGCAGTGCCTCATGTGGGTGGCCGCTGCCATCTGCCTCATCGCCTTCACCATCCAGGCCAGCGAGGGGGACCTGACCACCGATGATAACGTGAGCGGAGGCTGCTGCGGGGCGGGCGTGGGACACGGGGAGACCTGCGGGACTAGGACGAACGGGGCCTCGAGTGAGGGCACGGAGACATTAAGATGTGCTTCTGAGGCACGGATCTCGGGAGACGGAGGACGCTGGGATGTGGGACAGACCTGAGGACACAGGTCGCCAGCGACCCTGGTGATGACTCTTAGATGGGCAGGGAACAACTGCAAAATGTAAGCTATAGAGCCAAGGGGCTGGAGGGATGGCTCAGTGGGTAAGAGCACTGGTTGCTCTTCTAAAGGACTGGGGTTCAATTCCCAGCACCCACATGGTGGCTCCCAACTGTCTCTACCTCCAACATCCGACACCCTCACACACATAATGTACATAAAGTAAAAACAAGTAAGATGTAGATCCAAGAAGAAGAGGAAATGAGGATATAAGGACAAATCAAGGACATGAGGCAGGACACAGGGACTCGGATTGAGACATTAAGGAACATTGACCACCAGACACAGCCCACAGAGACCCAGGCAGGAGACAGAGGATGCAGATGATGGAGATGTAGAGAGGGGTTGGCTTTGTGTCGGCCAGACAGAGGAAAAGAGCCTGAAAGGCCACAGGTCAACTGACATGGCACTGGTCCTCCGAAGCGCACAGACTTGGCATTCGGCATGGAGATGCCAATCACGGCATGCAAGGTCTGCAGCACAGACACAGGAATGGCGACAAAGTGACACAGGGACTAGTGGGCACAAGGGCACAGGGTGGCACATGGATTAGAAAAAGTGCAAAACGTGGGGCGTGGAAACAGGAGGCGACGTGGCAGATGTACAGCTTAGGGGTGTCTGGAGGAACAGATCAAGAAACATGAACCAAGGCTGCATGGGGACCCGGGAGATCAGGAGCCAGAGACTATGGGATTACAGACATTAAAGGAGACGCCAAGGAGCCAAGGCCAGCGGATGTGGTGTTTGTAGGACACGGGGACAAGGGCTTGGATGGCAGGAATAGCACACGAGGCTTCCTGGTAGAGGGAGGAAGCTCTGGGGGTGACCTCGGGAACGCCAGGGGGCTCCGAAGCAGAACGGTGGCCTCGGGGAGGGGGCTCCTAACGCCCGTGAGTAAAATCCGTGTGCGTCTCGCTCTGCAGCTCTATCTGGCCCTGGCGCTCATTGCTGTGGTCGTGGTCACTGGCTGTTTTGGCTACTACCAGGAGTTCAAGAGCACGAATATCATTGCCAGCTTCAAGAATCTCGTGCCCCAGGTGGGTCCTGCCACCCCGTCTCCTCCGGCTAGCTCCAGGGGGCCCACCCTGTCAGCTTCCTCCACCTCGCCTCCTCGAGTCTCCACACAGTAACCGACTTCTACCGCCGCCCCCACCCCTGCCCACCCCACAGCAAGCCACCGTGATCCGAGACGGGGACAAGTTCCAGATCAACGCAGACCAGCTTGTGGTGGGCGACCTGGTGGAGATGAAGGGCGGGGACCGCGTGCCGGCGGACATCCGCATTCTGTCGGCCCAGGGCTGCAAGGTGGACAACTCCTCGCTCACCGGAGAGTCCGAACCGCAGACCCGCTCCCCCGAGTGTACTCACGAGAGCCCCCTGGAGACCCGAAACATCGCCTTCTTCTCCACCATGTGCCTGGAGGGTCCGTGCCCCGCCGCCGGCCTGCCCCGAAGCCTCCCAGCCCCCACTTCCCACAACAGCCCCCCTTCTGGTTTCCAAGATGCGTGCCCCACGCCTCCCCGCCACACAGGGCACCCTCTGGGGCTGCCCACGCCGCCCTGAGCTCTCCTGTGGTTGTAACCGCAGGCACGGCCCAGGGCCTGGTGGTGAGCACCGGGGACCGCACCATCATTGGGCGCATTGCCTCGCTGGCCTCGGGCGTGGAGAACGAGAAGACGCCCATCGCCATCGAGATCGAACACTTCGTGGACATCATCGCCGGCCTGGCCATCCTCTTCGGTGCCACGTTCTTTGTGGTGGCCATGTGTATTGGCTACACCTTCCTCCGGGCCATGGTCTTCTTTATGGCCATTGTGGTGGCCTATGTGCCCGAGGGGCTGCTGGCTACTGTCACCGTGAGTAGGGGAGAGAGAAGATGTGGGAAGCAGATGGCGGCTGCCTGGGCCATCCCACCAGACTCCCACCCGCCACCCTTCTGCCTGCTTATCCATCCATTCACTCCCCCACCCAACCACCCATCCATTTAGTAAACATTTACCAGGCTGCTCTGGCCTGGCTCCATGTCACACGCCAGGGCTTAGAGATGATAGGCAGGGTCCTGGGCCGAGGAAGATGAGGTTCCTGTGGGAAGTGAGCCCAAACTCAAGACCCACATAAGCTGGCAGTATCTGGGGATACCGGGAAGGCGCGGCTACAGACCGCTTGGAGGGGAGAACCAGCCTGCTTTACTTTTTGCAAAGCGCGGTGGCTGTAGTGGAGGAAGGAGAGGCGGGGCTGGCTGTCAGGGCCCGGCCATGCCTGTGCCCTCCATCCTCCCGCAGGTCTGCCTGTCACTGACGGCCAAGAGGCTGGCCAGTAAAAACTGCGTGGTCAAGAACCTAGAAGCAGTGGAGACGCTGGGCTCCACGTCGGTTATCTGCTCGGACAAGACAGGAACGCTCACTCAGAACCGCATGACGGTGTCCCATCTGTGGTTTGACAACCATATCCACACCGCAGACACCACGGAAGACCAGTCAGGTGTGGGGCTGGGAGGGGAAGGTGCAAGCGCAGAAGGCCTTAGCGAGAGGCGGCGGTGGGTGAACGGAATCCGGCCTTGAGAAAGCTCCCTATGTAGTGTTTGGAGAAAGCGGGCTGGGGATACGAAAAGGAAGTGGGGTAGGGTCCACGCCGGGGGAGGGACATCCCAGGGAGGTTTGGGAGACCCATTCCATCGAGGTCCCCGCCCGGATGTCCGGTCTCCAGGGCAGACGTTCGACCAGTCCTCGGAGACGTGGCGGGCGCTGTGCCGCGTGCTCACCCTGTGCAACCGCGCCGCCTTCAAGTCTGGCCAGGACGCCGTGCCGGTGCCCAAGGTGAGAGGCCGGGGGATGCCAGAGGAATCGGGGGGCCTGGTGACGCGGGCCTCGGCCCTCACCGGACCCTGTCCCCAGCGCATCGTGATCGGAGACGCGTCCGAGACTGCGCTGCTCAAGTTCTCGGAGCTGACGCTGGGCAACGCCATGGGTTACCGGGACGGCTTCCCCAAAGTCTGCGAGATCCCCTTCAACTCCACCAACAAGTTCCAGGTACGCTGCTCTCGGAGCCACGCCCACAGAGGGCCACGCCCACAGTGGGGGCCGGCCTAGCTCCTCCATCCAGCTCACAGCCCCGCCCACATGCGGTCAGGCCACGCCCACGAGAAGTTCCCGCCCCATCAAGCCCCACCCACAGTCCCCAGGCCGAGGACTGCCATAGACAGGACCCCGCATCCTCAAGGCCCCACCTCCTCGTGTGGCCACGCCCTCCACGCGCGGCCACGCCCATCGGCCCGCCAATCACGGCGCAGCTCGCGCACTCTGCTTCTACCTCCGCCCCCAGCTGTCCATCCACACGCTGGAGGATCCGCGCGACACCCGGCACTTGCTGGTGATGAAGGGCGCCCCCGAGCGCGTGCTGGAGCGCTGCAGCTCCATCCTCATCAAGGGCCAGGAGCTGCCCCTGGACGAGCAGTGGCGTGAGGCCTTCCAGACCGCCTACCTCAGCCTGGGAGGCCTGGGTGAACGCGTTCTTGGTGAGAGCCGCCGTGGGCACAGACGCTTCCAAACTTCCTGGCCCTGACCAGTTTGTTTTTGCTGTCGTTTTGTGCGGTACTGTGGATGGCGCCCGGGGCACGGTCTGCCCCAGCCCTCCCCCTTGATTTTCCCCTCCCGGTGTCAGTCCTGACTCCCTTACCCTGATACTTTGAACCAGTCGTACTGTCTAGTCCTGGCTGTCCACAACTCACTCTGTAGACCAGGCGGGCTTTCAACTCAGAGATCGGCCTGCTTCTGCCTCCTCAGTGCAGGGATGTCCACAAAGGAGTGGGCTGTCATGTCCCTTCTTTATCGGTACTTTTGACCCTCCCCAACTTTTGTCTTCACTGCTTAAATCTTAACCCCTGGAAACCCTGGAAGGCACAGACCAGGCCCATGGTCCAATTCTGCTTTTCTCTTAGCTTTGAAAGAAAGGTTTCCTTCCTTCCTTCCTTCCTTCCTTCCTTCCTTCCTTCCTTCCTTCCTTCCTTCTTTCCTTCCCTCCTTCCTTCCCTCCTTCTTTCTTCCTTCTCTTTCTCCTTCCTTCCTTCCCTCCCTCCCTCCTTCCTTCTCCCTCCCCAACCATCCAATGTAGCTCTCACTGGCCTGGAACTCCTGATCACCCTACCTCCACCTCCCAAGTGCTGGGATTACAGACCATGTGTGGCTTGAAGTCATCTGCTGGGCGGGGTGGGAAGGATTCAGGATCTGGCCCCCACAGATGGTGCAAGGGGTCTGGTTACGTCACAAGCCTCCAGACTCTGCTGGCCCCATTAGCACACGCGCCTCTCATTTCCCTGTTGTTTTTTTGTTTTGTTTTGTTTTGTTTTCTGGTCAGGTTTCTGCCAGCTCTATCTGAATGAAAAGGACTACCCACCGGGCTATACCTTCGACGTGGAGGCCATGAACTTCCCAAGTAGCGGCCTCTGCTTTGCGGGACTTGTCTCTATGATTGACCCTCCGCGGGCCACCGTTCCTGATGCTGTGCTCAAGTGCCGCACGGCAGGCATCCGGGTATGGCACCTGGGGATGGGGACAGAGGACAACAGAAACCCACCTGTCGCGGTCACCAGTTAAAGCACACTGCTTCACGATACAGACATTCTAGGGAACGTGTGTTAGCTGCCTGTGTTAGCTGTATCCAGGGCCGCAGTGTCGTCACAAAGCTGCCCTTTTCATGTCTTAGTGCCCTTCACGTCTCTTCTGGCTTTAGTCTCCAGCAGGGCTCCAGCGTGAGTGTGCAAAAGTCACCACCTGCCTCCGTCCCCAGCAGCTTTAGTTCACAGCTCCCGCCTGCCCTGCTCAGTGCCCTTCACCCCCAAACCAGCGCTGGTGGCTAGAGGTTACAATACCTTGATTGGCCACATCTGGGCTGGCTTCAGGCATCTTCTTGCCCCAGGACCTTTGCGCTGGCTGAATCTCCGCATGGCCAACTCACAAGTCACCTCCTCAGAGAAGCGTTCTCCTGCGCAGTCCCTCACTGGGCCTGTTTCCCCCTCTTGATGGGCTGCGCAGCCTGCTTGTCTTGTCTGCATCTATCTTCCTGAAGAAGGACAGGGAAGGTGGCCTCTTTTGTCCTGAGCACAGCAGGCGGTCATGCTTATCAGCAGATGCCCACCTGGGAGAATGGGGATGGCTGCGGAGATCTGAAGGGGTGAAGGGTGTGCTGGCCTTCCCACAGGTGATCATGGTGACCGGCGACCATCCCATCACAGCCAAGGCCATCGCAGCCAGTGTGGGCATCATCTCCGAAGGCAGCGAGACGGTGGAAGACATTGCTGCCCGCCTCCGCGTGCCCGTAGACCAGGTGAACCGGAAGTAAGGACCCATCGCCCTCCCTGTGGTTCCCCCCCGCCCCCCACACCGACCGAGGGCCCGGTGAGACCCTCTCCCTCCTGCAGGGACGCCCGGGCCTGCGTCATCAACGGCATGCAGCTGAAGGACATGGACCCATCTGAGCTAGTGGAGGCTCTGCGCACCCACCCCGAGATGGTGTTCGCGCGGACCAGCCCGCAGCAGAAGCTGGTGATTGTGGAGAGCTGTCAGCGGCTGGTGAGGCCCTGCCCAGGAGGGTGGCGGATGGGCCAGGCTGCGGCTGTCCTTCTGATCGCCCGCTCACCTGACCCACTGCCCTCAGGGTGCCATTGTGGCCGTGACAGGGGATGGTGTGAACGACTCCCCAGCCCTGAAGAAAGCGGACATCGGCGTGGCCATGGGCATTGCTGGCTCGGATGCTGCCAAAAATGCTGCTGACATGATTCTGCTGGACGACAACTTTGCTTCCATTGTGACGGGCGTGGAGCAGGGTCTGTGCCCTGCTCGGGAGGGGCAGGCCCCGAGGGCTCAGGGGGAAGCCGGTTTTGGAGGGGGGTTGAGGTACCCGCTCTGCCCCCACAGGCCGACTGATCTTCGACAACCTGAAGAAATCCATCGCCTATACACTGACCAAGAACATTCCAGAGCTGACACCCTACCTCATCTACATCACTGTCAGTGTGCCCCTGCCCCTGGGGTGTATCACCATTCTCTTTATAGAACTCTGCACAGATATTGTGAGTCTCCTCAGGCCTGGGCCTGGTTCCCCCGCCCCGTCGCGCCCCCGACACACACGTGTGGACGGACACACTGGGCCAAGATCACTATAATTAGTTTTAGATCCACAGACCTCAGAAATAGACACAGACGGGCGGACGGCGAGAGAGCCAAGGACGCAGAAGACTCACAGACACTCAGGCAGACAGATGTCGGTTGGGACATGCCTGTAATCCTAGCACACAGGCAGATATCAAGTTTGAGGCCAGCCTGGGCTACATGGTGAATCCCTGCTCAAAACAAAACAAAACAAACAAACAAAAAAACAAAAAACAAAGCCCTGAAGCCCAAGAGTAGAGATACCTGCAGACATGGGGTTCCAGCCACGAACGGTGACAAACAGACATCCCGCAGCAGACAGAGACAGCAGACCCCCTGGAGAAGCAGCCCTGACAGCAGCAAGTAGGGGAGCCTTTTCACCGGTGTGCCCAGCGCCTCACACAGTGATGATTCGGCTAGGCCCGGGCTGGTTTAGCTAAATGACTTACTGTCCTCCCGGGAAAGGCTTTCTTGTGATTCTCCCCACCTTGCTGATCATCCGACAGGCTCAGACAAGCTGAGTGGCTTGCCCCAGGTCCCTCAGCTAATTAGTGACCCCAGCCAGGGTCTGAGCTCAGCAGCCATGTTCCTTGGGGCTGGTGCACCTGATCAGTCTACTCTGGGGCCATCCCAGCAGCGACTGTCCCTTCACACATCACAGACAGGAGTGGGGAGGGGACAGAGCACACATATACACACAAACACAGGTGTGTGTGGGGGCGTGTGTGAGAGAGAATATGAATCAAGAGACAGGATCAAGGAAATAGAATAAGGCTTGCTGTTACGGCACATGCCCGAGATCCTAGCACTTGGGAAGCAGAGAGAGGAGGACCATGGAGTTTGTCAATCTCCTGGCTACACAGCGAATTCGAAGTCAGCCTGAGCCACACAGCAAGCCCTGGTGGGTGAGAGGCAAGGGAGAGGGAAGGGGAAAGAAAGGCCTAACAACAGGAAACAGAGAGGCCCAGGCTGGAATACCACAAGTGCCAGAGTCCAAAAATACAGAGCAAGAGAAGAGGACACAGAGTCGAGAAAGAGGGAAGCGGAGGAGAGGGAGCCAGCCACAGAGCTAAAGCCAGCAGGATTGAAGCAGACGTTTGCCAAGTGCTGATGCACACCTGTAATCCCAGCCCTTGGGACACTTGGGAGCAGAAGGTGGGAAGAGCAGTTCAGGGCCGGTCCAGACTACATGAGCCATTTGTATGGAGACCCACCTGGGCCAGGTATGGCTGTGTGGCCACGGCAGGGCTTCCTTCCTTGTTTGTTTTTACCTAGAGGTGTGTGTGTGTTTGTCTGTGTGTGTGATGGTTGGCTTCAGAATGAAGAAGTTGGTGGCCCAGGCTATGCCTCAGCCATGTTTTCTTGTGCCTGGCTAGTTTCCATCAGTGTCCCTGGCATATGAGAAGGCCGAGAGTGACATCATGCACCTCCGTCCGCGGAACCCCAGGCGTGACCGCTTGGTCAACGAACCCCTGGCTGCTTATTCCTATTTCCAGATTGGTAAGGCCCGTTGCCCAAAACTGGGATCCAAAGGCACTGGCCACCTGCTGTGGACTTCCTGGGTGGAGCTCCTGGGCTTGGTTGCTGCATTTCCCTCCCTGTCCATGGTGGCCTCTGTGTCCTCGAGTATAACTCTAGGCCTGCTGTCTCTGGGTCAGTGACTCGGTCTTTCTGGGGTCTCTCTGTCCCCGTCTGTATTCCCTTTGTTTCTCTGTGTTATTTCTGGCTTGTTGGGTCCTGTGTTCCCGCTCTGTGTGTGTGTTGGTTTTTGCAAGTCTGTCTCCATCTCTGTTCCCACACTATTCCCTCCCGCAGGTGCCATCCAGTCATTTGCGGGTTTTGCCGACTACTTCACGGCCATGGCACAGGAGGGCTGGTTCCCTCTGTTGTGTGTGGGGCTGCGGCCACAGTGGGAGGACCATCACCTACAAGATCTTCAAGACAGCTACGGCCAGGAATGGGTGAGCTCTGCTGCCACCCCCTTCCCTTGTCCTCCTACCCACTGACACGCACTGTTGTTGAGACGGTTCAGCCAGAGTGTCTGGTTCCGTCACCCTGCCTCAATGGTTGTGGGGAGACTTTCCCTCACTGTCCTTGACTCCACCATAGCTTCAGGATAGAGGTGACCCTCCTGCTGGATTGACAGAGCACTTCATCTCAGACTCGCTTGGCCCCCTCTGTCATCTTCCTAGGGATGTCATTCACACAGAGTTCTGGTGTAAAGCACCAATGTCACCGAAGGCCTGAAGGGCAGTGAGGCCAGCTGTGTCTAGTTTCTCTTGAAGAGTCCTGGGTCACAGAGCAGGAACTCCCCCCTAGCCACTGTCACAGCTAAGAATTCAGAGCCTGGAGCTAGTCAGGATTCACCATGTCCATCCTACAAAAAAGCTGTGTGGCGTGTCTGCGCCTCCCTACCCAGCCTGCTTCCAGCAGAATTCATACCATCTAAACTCATTTGAGATGCAAATTCTTAGGCCCCACCTCAGGCCTGTGGTTGGAGACTCCGGGAGTGGGGCCCCCTGAGGGGTCTGACACCTGTCACTTTGCTGTTTTGCTGGGAGAGGCTGCTACCTGGAGGTCAGTTCAATTCATGCCTCCATCACTGGCAGCTGTGAAGATGAGTAGGGGATCTCTGTGAGCTCCAGGCCGGCCCAGTCAATAGATAGTTGAGTTCTAGACCAGTCAGGGCCACACACACACACACACACACACACACACACACACACACACACACACACACCTGGAGTGGTGCTAAAGAAATAAGCATACACCCTCTATTGCCCAGTTCCTTCTCTGCTACTCTTTGGTCCCTGTCACTTCTGAAGACCCTCCAGTTCCCATTCCCAGGCTCCTTAACTCGGCGTTCAGGAAATTCTCTCTTTCCTGGGACACCCCATCCCCCGTGGTCCATCTGTCTGTTGAGGCAGAGCTTCCCAGACCCCTCTAGATGCTGGTGTCCGCAGCTCAGCCTGTGATGTGAGATGAGTTGAGGGACGCCAGTGCCCAATGGGCAGCAGAGACCCTTCCCCCAGGCTCAGGCTGCCCCTCCGTCTTCTCCTGTCCTGCAGACATTCGGTCAGCGCCTGTACCAGCAGTATACCTGTTACACTGTGTTCTTCATCAGCATCGAGATGTGCCAGATCGCTGACGTCCTCATCCGCAAGACACGCCGCCTCTCGGCCTTCCAGCAGGGCTTCTTCAGGTGTCCCCAGCCGGCCCCCGCCCCACCCTCCAGTCCCCCGTTCCAGATCCTGCCAGCTCCCAAACAGCAGATGCTGGCACCATGTGCAGTGAGCTGGGAGCAAACCCTGGATATAAGGCCTTAGCTAGCCATCAGGGCCCTTCCACATCCTGACCACGGGCTGAGGCCAACAGGGCTGGCTCCTGCTCCTAAGAGCAGCCATTCGGAGTTACAGACCCCCTAAGTTCCTCCTGCTGTCCTCAGCTGGCCGGTCTGTCTCTGCCCCCACAGGAACAGGATCCTGGTGATCGCCATTGTGTTCCAGGTCTGCATTGGTAGCTTCCTGTGCTACTGCCCAGGGATGCCTAACATCTTCAACTTCATGCCTATCCGGTGAGGAGCTGCCAAGTACTGCCACAGGGATGGGGGGTGCGGGACACGGCGGGGGCACAGCCTTGATCCCATCATCCCTAACCCGCTCTTCAGGTTCCAGTGGTGGCTGGTGCCCATGCCCTTCGGCCTCCTCATCTTTGTCTATGACGAGATCCGGAAACTTGGAGTTCGCTGTTGCCCAGGGAGTGAGTGTGGAGGCTAGGGCCCTGGGACTGGGGGACTGACTGGTTCACCGAGCAACTCCCTGACCTCTGACCCTTACGTATAACTTCAAGCCTTTGACCCTCTGTAAAGCACTACTGCTGGTGACCTTGTTCTTGCCTCTGCACCCTAGCATTGAACTTTGTTTCTCCTCTCTCCTCCAGGCTGGTGGGACCAGGAACTCTACTATTAGAGGGACCATCATCCCTCCATCTATCAGCACAGGGATGGGACTTACAAGTGACCATCAAAACAGTGCAACTGGTTCCCAGGCGGTACCCACTTCTGCAACCCCTGACAGCCCCTCAAAGGGACTCTACCCTCTACTCTTACCCCAAAGTTCCTGCACCCCAGGCAATTCCTCTGAGGTGGGAGGGGCTAGGCCCTCCATGGCCATGGCAGTTGCTATGGAGGCATGCCTATCCCAAGGACTCCAGAGGGCCAAGAAGGTTGCTGGGGGCGGTTACAAACCCCTCTTGTTCTGCTGGACAGTAATAAACCATGCCACATCAAGGCGCAGTCTTAAGTGTTTACCAGTACCCTTGACGCCTCACAGCCTACCCTGTAGGGACTAATGTTCAGGGCTGCAGTGTCTCCAGAGCTTCCTGGCACAGACGTCCACAGCAAGCAGCCTGTGGCCACAGTGCATAGAGTCTTCACTGATTTCACGTGTTGGTGCCTGGGCCTTTGTGTCCTTACCAAATCTTGGAGGTTCTCCCCCACCCCAAAAAACTCCTACCTCCTGAAGAGCCAACTCCTCCAGTTACTGGGAATGCCCCCATCCCGGTGGCCACTCCCTTTCCTGGTAACCTGTTTGCCTCACCCCGCTTCTGTGTCAGGAGCTTCTCTGGCTGGACCTGAGATTCTCCTTCCTGTCTGCCCCCATCCCCTCAAGCCCTGAGGACTTCAGTCCCGCCTGTCATTATGCCCACGTCTGTGTCCAGCCTCTCCCGCTGGACTGGTGTGACCCACACTGGCCTTTCCATCACTCTCAGACCTGCACCAATGGCAGGGGACACCTCCCTAGGAAGGGGGAAGGCTCCTGGGAGCTGCCAAGCCCCGAATGAGTGCTATCCCTTTACAGACCTGTCTCCTCCCCACTTTGCCTCCTACCGACCAACAAAAACAACTCACTTTCTGGCTTCAAGCTACTTTCCCACCCCTGCTGAGGACTGTTTCACCGTGGCCTTCTGGTTTCTGTCCTTCGATACCACCACCATGGCCAGCTTCCCAAACCCCAAACCGACTCTGGTAGAACCCCCACTGCCCTGGTCAATATCATATCAGCCATCAGCTGTGGCTACTGACTGCTACTGGACAAGGCCTGCTGAATTGGAATCAGGCAGTCTCATGCTTCGCAGAAGCCAGGCCTTTACCTCTGCCTGGACACTTCTTTTTCTGTTTGTCCCACTAAACCCTGTTTTCCACCCAGACCTCTAGCCACAGCCCAGGCTTCCCCATGAGGGCCCTAGTTAGTTCTGTCGTCTCCATGAAGGGACAGGCAGGCCTTGAGATGGAGGTACATGAGAAAGTGATCCCAATACAGCTCCACAGTGCACAGTGAAGGCTGTTCTTCAGTCGCAGTGCACAGAGCTGCTGGGGACACTCGGGGCGCTGAGGAAGGTGGTCCATCTGAGAGGAAGTGTGCCGTGTGTAAGCAGACTGTCCTAACGAGCCTGAAGGAGCGCTGTCTACATTGCAGGAACCCTGCTGTTTGAGGATGTAGCTCTCAGAGTCCGGACAGCCATTCTGAGCTCTGCCTTAAAGATAGGACTCCCTCTTTCCCAGCAGGCCCTCCTGCTCTGCCTGACTTCATGGAGTGTCTTTAGACACAGCCGCCCCTAACCATGACCTCTGACACAGCTCCCTGTGACTCCATGATGATTAGGCACTGTGTTTCCATTCATGTGATAGGAGTGTGCTGTTTAATGCAAATCAAGCATCCCACTCCCCAAGGGGTATATAACCTTTGTTCTTTAGAAGTAGTTGAACTAGCTCCCTGAAGTGGTTCCCGGGGCGGGTGATCCCTGTACAGTGCTCACGGGCCATTCCAGGCATGCTCCTCCGCTCATGGGCTGGAGACAGACCCCTAGGTAGGAGGAGAACCAACATGTCTAACCTTAAACATCTCGAAAGCCCAGTCAAAGTGGGATGGGGCAACTGCCCTACCCCAGTAGATGACACCGGGAAGACCAAGGCTGGGAAGCGCCCTCCTAAGACAATGCAATTTCCACCTCAGTGGAGCTTAAACGAGACAGTCAAGGCCTTGGTTCTTCTAAGAAAGTGGATAGGGCAAAAGCCCTATCCACTTGTTCCCACTGAACAAGCAAGGGCATGACTGCAGTGGCGGAGTTGGCATTCCGGACAGTGTCCAAGTTGGTGGGCTCAACTCTAGCTATTTGACCTAGAGTTCCTACCCCGAACACACTGAGACTTAGGCAGGATTTAATCTGCAGGCTGCAGAATTAGCATGAAGAAGCTCAGAATCAAGGCACTTTTCATAGAGGCCTTGTGGCTTGAATGACGGTAGGCATTTGACTAGGGAAATCATTCCATGGGGCAGCTCCAGATGTCTCAAGGGTAAGGGCACAGGCAGCTGTCAACTTTACAATGAAGCACCACGGAGACGGTGACCCGGTTGGACGGGTTCCAAATGAAGGCCCTTGGCTGTCACGCAGTAGATGGGCCGGAGTATGGAGTAGGGCGCTGGAGGGTTAGAGGTAGCCTACCTAGGGAAGGCCCACATGCAGGAAAGCTCAGGCCAAGCTGTAAGGAGGAAGAATGCCCTCTGCCCAAATCCCCCTCTTACCTTCTACTGTGCCCACTCTTTAGCCCGTTCAATGATTATCAAGCCCTCAGGCTCCCCTGGGGAAACCAGGAGGACTGGCCAACATTCCAGCTTGCCTACCTGGTCCTGAAGCCAGACAGGATCTGTGGGACCTAAGTGACATAGTCCTAGGATTCGGTTTCTGAGAGAGAAATAGACATACACACACAAAACTTTCCAAACACCGTTTACTTGACTAAAATCTGGAGAGAGGCAGCGAAAAGGTGGGCCAACACCTGGGGCACTAAGCTAGGAATGTACATTGACAACAGCAACATACAGGGCCAAGGTGCTGAGGGCCAGCAGCCCTGTCACTACTGCCCGGGCCAGCAGCGCCGTCCAGCTACCCAGCGAGCAGAGGTGGACGAAGGTCCTGTGGGGAAACATCACATGAGGAAAGGAAAAAGAACCATCCTCCATCTGAACCCAGCCTCAAACCACACCCAGCTTACTCCATGACAAAGGCCTTGTAGACACTAAGGAACATCAGGAGGAGAACAGCGGGCCGGAAGGTGTGGTACAGGTCGTAGCGCGTTATCATCCAGACCTGTGCCGATGCCACGATGTAGTGGACCTGCAGGGAGGGAGGAAGTGGGAAGTTGGGACCAAGTTTTGGGGAGAAATACGGCTGACGGCATGAAGGCGGGATGGGAACAGCATGCATACCAGGCTGATGTTGGAATCAATGCTCATCTGGATGTACTTCCAGTCAAATTCGATGCCTCGGGCTCCCACCCAGAGAGGGATGCAGCTGAAGGAGGCAAAGCGAGGCAGTTTCCAGTACCCACACTCCCCTCAAGCCCCCAGACACTGATCCCCACCCTCCAGCAGCCCTGTGGGACCCAGGAGTCCCTTCCCAGGTTGCTCCACACACCGGGACATAATGAGCTCAGCAGTGGCCCAGCCCAGGGCGGCCACCATGATCTTGTACTCTCCCTTGCCTGCATTCCGCGACATGACAAGGTTTAGGCCTATCAGGTCCGCCACATCCACACTGGCCTTCATGAATTCCTGTGTGTCAGGCAGAGGCTCCAGTAAACACGGGGACCAGGTGAGCCCACTCCCGCACTCCCTGCCGCTCGCTCTGCTCTCCCTTGTCCAACTCACCCCAATGAAGTCATAGATGCCACCTTCCCAGGTGGGGAAGAAAGTGGCCAAGAACAGCATCTAAGAATAGAAAGTAGAAAGGTCACCGGAAGGTGAGGGAGATTTAAAAAAAAAAAAAAAAAAAAAGAGAACACCTACGTGGATACTGTGGAAAGTGAGTGGGCACGAGGCTGGGTTCTGGGGGTCATTCTAGGTGTTAAGTGGTAAGATCACGGGAGTGGGGGAGATAGAGAGCAAGTGCCTGTCTAGAAGTTCACAGGGGAATGTTAAGTCTAGAAATGCCTCCGCGAACGCACGCGTAGCACAGGAACCACAATGCGACACCCTGTGGGTGAAATATCGCTTAGACAACGCTAAGAGGTTTCCTCAGTTTTACCGAGTGCTGGGAAAAAGTTGCATCCAGGCCTCTCCCAGGCTTCCATCCTTTCTAAGGCACAGCCCCTAAGCGTGGTCTCGAGGGTGGTCCTATGGAAGGCCACAGCAGCAGAGCCGGGCCCCCGAGAACTGGTGTGACGGGAGGCCAGACACGTGGAGTCAAAGAGTCCCTCACCTTGCAGAGCTGCACAAAGAGGTAGGTGACCCCGGCCTGGACGCATTTCCAGAAGGCGTTGTACTCAGACCTGAAGAAGCGGGCCACGGTGAGGGGTCGGCCCGGGCCCCGCACCCTCTCCGCCCCGCGCCCGCCCTGCACTCACAGGCCGCTGCACTTGTACGTGATGAAATAGGGAAAGTAGGCGAGGGCGAAGCAGTTCCCGAAGTGGAACAGAGTCATGACACCGGCCACCGGGTGCCGCCAGCGCGGGACTCGCCAGGCGGCGTTTCCTCTGAGCTGGGGTCTCGGCCTCCCGGCACCGGCGCCTGGCGCCCACCTGGTTTGCCGTGGCCCGCGCGCGGCCTTATGGGAACTGTAGTCCGGCCCGGCCCGTCGCGCGCTGTGACGTCAGAGCGCCCATCGGCCGCCCCGCTGCCGGCTTCCAGAGCCTAACCGCTGGTGTTCTGACAGCTCCGCCACTTTTCTCGCTCATCCGAGAACCTTGGACACGGCCCTGAACCCACGGTGACCGGCGCAGAGGCAAGAGGGCGAAGTTGTATGCACTGTGGTTTTTATTATTGAGCTGGCAGCTGCGCGAGAGCCGCGCCTCCTACATTGAGGGGGAACTTTCCCAATGGCAGGAACGCGAGGTGCGCACGCGGAGGGGCCTTCTGCATTACTTCTCTCTGCTGAACATATAGCGGAGGAGGTCTACCACCCGGTGACT